CGCACGATGTCGTACGGCACCGTCGACAGGTCCTTCTGCACGTGCGGGTCGTCAAGCGCCGGCCGATGAGGCGCTTTGTCGCAAAGAGCGTCCCCTTCGGGTTGGTCACCGCCTGCCGCTTGGCGGGCGCGCCCACCAACCGCTCGCCGTCGCTGGTGAAGGAGACCACCGACGGCGTCGTCCGCGAGCCCTCCGCATTCTCCACCACCTTTGGGCTGCCACCCTCCATGAGCGCGACGCAGCTGTTGGTCGTGCCGAGGTCGATGCCGATGACGGCACCCATCGGCCCTGAGCTCATATGCCGCGCGAAGCGGGCGCCAAGCGCCGGCGCGGCGCTGCGCAGCGGCGCTCGCAACCTTGACATCAGCTGCATGGAGAGCCCGATGCACTGTGGGGGTCTTCTGGACTCTCTGGCGCGCGACAGAGACGCGTGGTCCCTAGCCAAAATTTCGTGGCGGTTTCCGTTTTTCTCTTTGGCGGGGCCCTCCAGACGATTTCGTACAGGCGGGGCCCTCCGACCTTCCTAGAAAGCATACGAAAGGGCGCGGAGAGCCCTGCGAGATTCCGTGTCTCGAGTGTTGCGGAGGACGCTGATCTCTGCACCGCTTCTAAGGCAGCGTTTGTGCCCCGTCCGCGCCCGCGTTCTTTTTAAAAAGGCGGGGGCGGTGTTGCAGCGGTGGGAAGATCTTGAAAAAAGAAAAGGGGAGCAGGACCCACTCGGGTTCGACACCAAGGCCCACTTGGCGGCCTTCCCGGTCAGTGGTGAGGCGCAGTTCAGAGCTGTCGATGGCGCGATCGATGCCGCACTGGTCCCACATTGGTAACACGAGACCACCACGTTTGCCGGTCCAAGAGAGAGGCACCGGCGCTGTCGTGAGAAGGTGCATGGTCCCTCTTGACTGCCCATGCGCGCGAGGCTGTGTAGGCATAGCCTCGAGAGTGCCAGCAGCCAATCCGAGGCAGTTTGTGACGCGCATTGCGTCAGAAGCGTGCACGCAGCTGGAAGGACACCTTCCTACTGGCCGTACGATCAGGTCGTCACTGAATGCTTGATACTGAGGCCGCAAGCTATGCAGGTGATCAATTGTGCAGCATGGCACGGTCAGCAGCGCCGACAGGCTGTCGCAAGGCGTGATAGCATGGCCGCAAGTACGCCGAATTCCCATGAAAACAATGAAAAATGGCGCAAAAAAAGAAAAATCCCGAAAAAATCGGCGCCTGCGGCGGGCCATGGGTCCCTGTCGCCCCCCCCGCATGGATACCCTCTAGGGCCCCCGCGCCCCCCCAGAGAGCCCCAGCCTGTGGCGGTGGCCGTGGGGGAGGGGAGGCTCTCAATCCCATCGGGCCGCGGCGTACGCCCGCCCGTGCACCGCGCTCAGCGCCCCCATCTCTGCGTCGCTCAGCTCGCCCCAGGACCACAGGTCGAGGTCCTCCTTCATAAAGTCGGCTCGCCAGACGGCGAGGGTGGCGAGGGGCCGCTTCTGCTGCACGATCCACCTGAGCGCCACCTGCGCGGCCGAGACGCCGTGCGCCGCCGCCACCGCCTTGACCTCGGGGATCGCCAGGACCGAGCCGTGCCGGCAAGAGGAGCCGTTCGGCCCGCCGCAGAGGGGCGAGTAGGCCATGTAGCCGATCCCCGCCCGGCTGCAGTACGCGAGGGTGGCCTCGTCGCGGTACCCGACCGAGAGGGAGCCCTGGTTCTTTTTTAATACGCTAGGTGGCGGCGTGCCGTCCTATCATCCCTAGGTTTCTGTTTTATTTCTTCTTTAAGTAAGCTAAGAAGCTCAAGATACGACCCCGAGATCCACTCCCCCTTGGGCACCCCCTACCCCCCTACCGTGAGTGAGTATTCTTGATACGAAACCACGACGACAGTTACCAGTCGACTCGCATCGGTTGCCTCCATGAACGGCCGGGCCTGCGCAGCACGACCGCTGGCCTTCCTCCTGCACCACAGGAGCGCACCAAGGCGCGCGTCTGGGCAAGCAGTGCGTCTCATCGCGATGCGAGAGTCGACGCTGTGACGCCGCCGCTCGCCGGCTAGAATGACAGTGGCAGCATTTCGAGTACGCGTCGAGCTGTGCGTACCAGCACTTGTGTGCGAGCTTAAAATATTGTGTCCCTAAGCTGCTGTGGGGTGCGTGGGCTCAGCTGCGGAGCACGTACTGGGCGGCGGTAGGGGGGTGTCCCTAAATAACTTTTGGAATAGAAGGTATGTCCCACCATGCAGAGCGCATCTCTCTCTCTGTTGTGCGAGGCGTGAACCGCGCCATTCGCTCTCACCTGGCAACCCTGTCTGCACGTCTCGCGCGCGCGTGAACAGGGCTCCAGGCCCCAAATGACGTGTGAGTGTTAGAGTTGTTTGGCGGCGTGCCGTCCTCCCATCCCTCCCTCGGGTAGTGTTTTATTTCTTCTTTAAGTAAGCTAAGCTCAAGATACGACCCCGAGATCCACTCCCCCTTGGGCACCCCCTACCCCCCTACCCATCGGCGGCAGAGCCGCCGGTCCCCTACCCCTACCCCCCAAACAGCCGGAACCCTGCCAGCTTTTTTTTCTGGGAGATCAACACGGGCGCTCGAAAGACGAAACCAAAGACCTGCAAAAGACGGGCGCAGGCTCTTCCTTCGCGCAGGTTGTGGCCCCTCCGCCTCCGCCCCCGCGCCGCCACCGACCACCTCACCCACCGGCCCGCCATCCTCACCGCCCGCCATGCCATCTCCAACCCCCTCCCGCCGCGACCTCGCCTCTCCGCCGCCGACGTCTGTGTGCGTGTGTCGGCACGCACCTGCCCCAACCAGGGCCGCCCGCGCTTCCTGCGCCGCACGGTTGCCGAGCATGCTGCCCTCCGACTCCCCCGATGCCACGCCCCCACCCGCCCCCACCCGCCACCCGTTATTTTGCCCCTGCCCCCCGCGCGCGCCATCCTCGATCGCCCGCCACCAAAGCCCACCCCCAACCCCGCCCCCCGCCCCCGCCCGACCGCCCGCCCCCCCGCCCCCCCCGAGAGCAGACTACATGCTGGCTCTCGCCTCGCTGCTCTCGATTTCGCCGCTCGGCTTCTCCACCGCCCCGACGCCCGAGCCGACGCCCGAGCCGACGCCCGCCTGCAAGACCATCGCAGAGATCCTCGCCGAGACCGAATACCTCTCGACGCTCAACACCGTGGTCAACGCCATGCCGGACGAGCTTGCCCTACTTTCGGACCCGGCTCTGAATCTCACCGTCTTCGCACCGAACGACACGGCTCTCCTTCCCTTTGCGTCCGTCCTAAATGACACCCTCGCGGACGGCGGCTCGGTCATCTTCCGCACGGGACGGCGGCTCTCCGCGCGAGCACACGTGAAGGCGCCGGAGCCAAAACACGGCCGACAGCTCGGTCACTGTGAGAGCCAAGGGTTCTGCGGCTACTGCCCTCAATGCCCAACCTGTGACGGCTCCTCTTCGTGCGACACCTGCTGTGAT